ATATCATCATTAACAAACTAAAGATATTATTAAGAAACTTATAATGCTAGATTGGGATATAAGAATTCTTAACATAAAAAGTTTTTAGTACTAGCTAATTTGCTTAATTTGTTATAAAAAAAATTATGTAGCTAAATATGTTTATTTATTTGTTTTTAAGATAATGTAATTATATGAAATATTTCAGTTAAAGAAAGGTGACATCACTTCTCTTCAGATTTAAATAGCTGGAGGATCTATATGGTTTTTAAAAATATCTATCAATTATATTAGAAAAGTTTCTTGCAATGTTGATTCTCACATTTACTAAAAACTAAAGATATAAACCAAACAGGTGTTTCGCAATGGCTGTTTCAAAAACTTATTTGCCAGTTCAAATATTGCTACTAAAATACTATACCTACCATGATATTCAACCGTACCAAGAACATTTTATCTAAAAGAGAAGTATTCGACAAAGCCACACCATTTTATGACAATGCTTTAGCAGATAGTGGTTATAATTAAAAGATTACTTTAAAAAAACTATACCTCAGCAAAAACAAAATTAAAATTATGAAACATTATTTGGTTTAGTCCTTCGTTTTCACTAAAAGTTATAACAAGCACACAGTGAGCCAGGCTGTGACAAAAGTTAAAAAAGTAATGTTCTTTTAAAAAAAGTTTTTGTAGATACGTGTATATATCATGGCCTTTCTAAAATGGATATTATTTATTTATAACGCAAAAACTTTTTTTACCGTTACAAATTAAAGAAGGTTCTTTTATAGATATTCAAAACAACTAAAAGTTTAATAAAAAATATGTTCCACATTTTTTCTTCACAAATTTAAAATTAATTTTATTTGTTGCGCTTTTTTTAGAAAATTTTGAAATATATTTACAGCTTTGTATTTTCTTGCAATAATAACAAAATATGATTGAAAAATACCTTTTTTTCTTCTATTACTTAAAATAATGTGGAGAAATCCTCATTACAATTATCAGAGGTATATATATAACCTAATACTTTTTGGAACACAAACAAACACATTTATAAGTATATACAACAAATGAATTACATGTTTACTATGAGGTAAAATTTGTTTAGGCTGCTACTTCTTGCAACTTTGAGCACTGTTAAGCTCTAAAGCTGAAAATATTTTGTGCAACCCCCTCACTTTAAGGGGTTTTTTGTAAATAGTTCTAATGGAACAACACAAGTAAAAAAATAAAGAATGTACATTTGATAAATTACGAAAACTGCTTTCTAATAGTTTTTGTTTATAAATCCTTTGACTAGTTGAACCATCAAATCCAGCTTTGTAATATTGTGTTGTTTTATCTTGCTTTATATATTTATGTAACTAAAAAATGCCGAAAAACTTGTTGATGAATTCTGTTAATTTTGATGAAATGAGTATGATAAATATATGCTATTTTTAAATTTGAGAACTAACTACCTGTAATAGCTCTACCGCATTCTCCCTTATCTCCATCGTTTCTACCGCATTCTCATTTATTGTAGACCTTTGAGTTTTGAGTTTAAAAAAGAAACTAAACTTGTACTGATTGATAAAGAAAGAAAAATTAAAAATAAAATGGCAAATTTGATTCCATTCATCGTTGTTTTTGAAGGGCAAAAAATATCTATTAAAAATCATATCGAAACCACAATAATTGATGATAAGGTGCACACTGTCTTATCAAACGCAACTTACGCTAGTCAGTTATATTTTATTGTGTGTAGCCCATCATAAGTAAATGAAATTGAAACTATTATCAAAAATATTATTCCACTAATATTTCACAGTATGGTCTTTCAAGCTTGCATGCTTGGATAAGGTGCTTTGAATGCTTATTAAATATTACACATATAGAATAAAAATTAAATTTTGGAAAGCAAGATCTTTTGAAGGCAAGATTTCAGTAATGGAGCAAAAAAGTTTAATTCATAAAACATTCTTGGATAAAGATTCTTGGATTGATAGTAGATCAACCCAGAGTCGGTAGTAGGAACGCTAACAAAGGTAATACGGCCAGGATAGATTTTTAAAATAAAGACATATTTAGTGAAATTATAGAAATTTATAAAGTGCTAATTGAGAGATTGCATGTTATACTTTGTTGTATTTTCAGTGGTTTAAAAAATAAGACATAAGTAAAATTTAGGGAGTATTGTTTTGAAACTGCCAGATATTTTGTTAAATATTACTCCTGGTATTACATGCTTCAAAGTCTGCATAAAATATAAATGCATGGATACCTTATAGTGGAAAAAAAGCTATTACCTATTGGTTTAATGTCAGAAAAAACTCAAGAGGCTTGTAATAACGTTTTTTAGAGTTATCACCAAGAACATGCAAAAAAAACAAATTAATCAAAATGCAAAGAAGATGTAATAAAACTACTGTTGCGAATTTATGATGCATTGGTGTTCAGTTTAAGAAAAACAGCAATAAAAAAAAAATGTCTGACTTTTTTTTTTGTCCTTTTTTTTGAGTTTAACTTTTTTTGTACCTTTTATGGTGTCCTGATATATAATTAAGTTACGAGTTCTTTTTGTTTTGTTTTACTAAATTATGTATTATTTTATTGTTACATATATATATATATATATATATATATATATATATATATATATATATATATATATATATATATATATATATATATATATATATATATATATATATATATATATATATATATATATATATATATATATATATATATATATATATATTAATTAAACTATTTTATGCAAAATTAGTAAGCCAGACGTGATATACAGCTTAATATTGCTCTGCAAAGTTAAGAAACCATAGTAACCAAATATAAAAAGTTACTTTTATAAGAAGCATAGACCTCATATTAATACACATGCCAAATATAATGTACATAGGACAAATGAAATATCTCTAACTATCAGAAACAGGTTTCTGCTATGCAAAATTAGGTATCCATAGCCACTAAATATAAACGTTATTACTTTTATAAGAAGCGCAGACCTCATTTTTATACTCTTGCTAAATTTGGTTAATATAGTACTAAAATTAGTTATTAGTTTTGTTTCAAAATTGACTATTCTGGCCCACTGTGCAGCATCGCAAGAAATTTTATAAATCTAATAAAAAGCCTTCCAAAATCACACAAATTTAAAAAAACTTTTGCTACAATAACTTAAAAGTTAGTTATAATTGTCTTTCTAATATCATCAATACTATTACTATTGATATTAATTATATTATTACTTAATAAAAGAGTATCATCTCATACTTCCAATATAATCATTCCTACGTGTAACTGTCAGAAAACCTTTCAATGTCTTCTGCAAGGTATTAATAATATTTATGTCTTAGTAAAAATATAATTTAAGTCTGTAACGTTAGAACAGCACTATAGAATAACGAACTTAATCATATTGGTTGAAGGGAGCATACATCTAAAGATTACTGAGATAAAATTAAAAACTCGTTTTAATACAAAAGTGAAGCAAATTCCACCATACTTTTATAATATATCTGGGATATCAATCGTTTTCTTTTAACTTAAACCATGCTGATTCTCACCAGCTCATTTATTTATGTATGATAGTCCATTAATATGTTCATAAAAAATAGTGAATAAATATGTTTAAAAAATATGCATATGTAAATATAAAAAAGTAGTGCTAACGAAAAAAATACCTTATGCTCTTAAAGCAGCAACAAGAGATAATAAAAAAATATCAAATTAATAAACATTTTATACAATACCAGTTTATTATAGAGTATTATTAATAAAGATTCAAAGAAGTTAGAAATTTTTTTTTTCCAGACAATAAAACTTAGTCTTTGAAATTCTCATAAGTTTAATTAGAAAAAAATGCCGCTGCTTCTTTTATTAAATATAAGAAGATAAAGAAAGTTTACAAAATTGATGATAGTGAAAATATATTCTATAGCGATCAATTTAAATTAAATTTATGTCTTTGATAAAGTAAATCAAAAATAGAAAGCATCTATATTGTTAGTGCTTTCTATTTTTGGGCAATATCAGATTTTAAAATATTATTAAAATTTTGAGTTACATCATTTAGTGTATTAAATTGATTTGTTTAGTGTTTTTGCAGTCACAATCCTCGTAATATAGCATTAAAAAAAAAATTTGTCTGCCTTTTGTATACGAAAGATATTGTTATTATTATTAGTATTATAATTATTATTACTACACTTACGTTTTATGTTTATCCAAATAATATTAATGTCATATTTAACTTGCTTTTAAACTTATAAAATGTTTCTCTCAAGTTCGTTTTTTTATAATAAATAGTTTTTTTTATGAAAAAAAACTTGCTATGATTGAGTAAATGGTCTCTTATCAAAAGCTCTCTTTTCAAACCTCTTTCCGACGATCTCCTCTAAGTCCGCAAACATGAAGAAGATTTATCTTTCAGTTCAAGACAATCTGCCCAAACGCAAACCCTCAGTCGATGTATACACACTTACTGTGCCTATGGCTATATAAATCAGTTGATATATGTACACTGCGATGCGCCTATCCCTATATATCCCAATATGCCAATCCCCTAAAAATCCCGGTTTTCAGACGTCAAAGATGCTCAACGTCGGAATAGAGGTTTGAAAAGAGAGACAAACTGAGTAAATATGTAAAAAAAATTTAAAACTGTAAAAAATATTTAAAATTGAATGCAATTTAAAAATGTCAAAAATATCAAAAAAAAAAAAAAATGTCATAGCGGCCGCTAAAATGCAAGCAATATTCAAAATTTACTTTATTTCTGGATAATAGAAACAATATTCAAAATTTACTTTATTTATAAAAAATTGAAAAATATTTTATGCTCGAGCGCATTTTACAAAAAAAAGTAAAAGCCTGCAAAATGTCGGTAGCCAAAAAAAAATTCTAATCCTTTTGAAAGTCCATTTAATTAACAAAAAATGTCACAGGTCAAAACGAGTTTATTTAGCAATAAAACGTGCTTTTAAGAAAAATAAATAACTACAAATATTACTTACAAACTTTGAAAAAAGATTAGGTATATGTAAGGTTTTTTGTTTATTCTAAGTCAGTTACTCGTTTTTCTAGTTTGAAATATTTTTTTAAATGTGTGTTTCTAATCCGTTATTATTTTGAGATCATTTCGCTGATGTATTAAAGTTACAATAATGCTATTATCGGTAATAATGCGGGTTATCTAAACTGATATTCGAAACCGAAACCGATTCTTAATTAACTCACCTGGCCCTTCCACACTCTTATTTTTTGGTGAGAGAAATGTTAGCAACACTATGTGTTTTCAAAACTTTAGCTCATTTATAGTGAATTTTAATGAAAACGTTTGATAGTATTTATATATTTTGTAAATTATTTATAAATAATATTTTTAGTAAAAAATGTGTAATTTTAAATATCTTATTTTTGTTGTTATTGGTCGTCCAGTAAAAACTAAAACAAGTAAAAGTAAAACTATAAAAAAAAAATACGATCATAAATAAGAACGTTCTTAAACAACAGCGGCTAGAAAGTTAAGATGCTCTTGTTAAAAATGCGTACAACATTAAGTATAAAATAAAAAATAAATAAATCTTTTTGAACTGAACAGCAAAAAAGATAGCTCAACCCGAATGTAGACAACTTTTACAGCATTGATCAGCTAGGCAATGACGCTTTTTACAACGACGTCTTGAATAATATATTGAATAATGTTAAATAAAATTTCAAAGGAAAGTATCCATAAAAGTTGCTTGTATCGCTTGCTATATCTTTGAATGGATTAATAAAACCTTTCTTTAGCCAATCTGGAAACGTGGTTAACAAAGACATTTTTTGTTAAATTCTAAATAGCAAACTCTTTCTGTTTATTGAAAAATATATTTAGTACGGGTATTATGTGTTTTGCCCTGAGTTAAAGCCCATTATGCTTCCAAGGTCACTAAACGTTTTGAAAAACTAGAATATAACTAATGTCACAAAATTGATGAATCCAACAAATTTTCCAGAAGCTTGTCGAATAGAAAAATTTTGAGGAAACCTAAAATCGGAGGTATGCAAGAACAACTAGACAGCCAAAAATCTTGTCGAGTTAGAAAAAGAAGATATTTAGATGCCTTGGCAATAAAAACTTTGTTAAAAATTTTGTACAAAACAGTGCTTTATCATTTAGGAAAAGGGTTGGTCAAACTAATGAAACAGTGCTTTATCAGTTAGGCTGGTCAAACAATAAGATAAAAACTTCTTATAATATACTTATTTGACAATAGTATAATCTATTTGATAGATTTAGATTAAAACTTCAAAGATCATTAAACTTCATTTTATAATTGTGTCAAAACCTAGCTAACACCCCTTAATTCGTTTATCTAATGCATTTATTTCCTCTTCGCAAATATTATTTATGCATACTTTTTTATGTAAAAGCACACAAAATAAAAAAGTCTCGTCTTAATCAAAACAGTGTGTTACTGCAAATTTACTAAATATTTTTAATAAAAATAAATACAAATAACTTGAAACTAACATTTTAAGTTTTTTATAGTCTTTATTTCTTTTATTGAATCTAAACAAAAAAAAAAAAGAAAAAAAAAAAAAAATCACGAATCGTATCTGTGGGCATTGGTCAATTTATAATAGGTGCAAATATGACATTTTGCTGGAGAAGAGTTTTAAAATTTGGTTTATTGGCATAATCAGTATAATAAATAGGATAATATTGAAAAATAAATTATTTTTGTATTAGATTAAATATTTCTGTATAAACAACTGCAACCATAGACCAAACAAAATAAAATATCAAATCTGCATACTTATCTTAAAATAACCAATTTTGCACTTATCATAAATTGACCAAACATGCTTAATGTAGATAGATTTTAAACTGCTATATAATAGTTTTCTTTCCTTCAAAAGTAGCATGAATATATTTTTTCTTAAAAAACCGCATTATGAGATTGGGAACACAATAAAATTTAGGTCAATAATTACTGATTTAAGAAGACATTAGAATTGAAATCCTCACTTCCAAATCAAAAAGATAACAGGATTGTGATCCATATAGTAAAATGCAGAGATATCATTTTTTTATTTTAAAATTTTTATTTATAAATTTGATTTAAAACGCGTTAAATAAAACAAAATATATTATTTTCAAAACTCCTTACATTGTTATTCGAAAAGCAGGAAATTATTTGATTAATTTGTACACTAATAGGAATTTGTTGTGATAGCTATAAGAATAAATTAGGCTTAGACACCCTTTACAAAACAAAAATAAATGGTTTCGATTGATTATATTCTAGATTCCCACTTTATTGTTTTCTCAGGTTTCGAATAAATAAATCCAACAGGGAATCTGGTGCTGAGGCTTTGCAAATTAAAAACTTAATGAACGCCTAGCATTCAATACAATTAAACAAAACTAATAATATAGAAGTTAGAAAGAATATCTGTAAACATCTAAAATAAATGTAAAAACTTTGTAAAAGTTCAAGTATGTGAAGTCACTTAAAAAATATTAGAAATTCCACGTTTTGATAAAATCTAGGATTGTTAAGTTAAAAAAAAAAAAAACAATGAATAAATTAAATATAAAATAATTTTTTTCACAATTACAAAAGATATTGAATTGCAAATGCGAGAAAAAAAATATATTCGTGACGTCGCACAATATGGCGCTTTGCGATAAAGTCGGGAAAAATTACTCAATTATTAGAAAAATGTAGATTAAGCATATATTACACATTAAAATAAGAGTATTTAAAAGTAAATAACCTAAATATAAATATTTGCAATTAGAGGTACGTTTACATTTTAAGGTTAGATTAAAATCTTTCAAATGCTGACGTCAGTTTAGTTAAAATTATCTGGTTTTAAGAGTAGTGCGACGTGAATGACGCAAATGAATTGCCAAAATAATATTTACAAGAAGTCCTTCAAAATTCGGGAAAAATTTTTGAAAGACAATTTATAAGGAATGCAAATATGATTTAAAAAAAAAAAATAGTAGAGTAATAAAATAATAATTATAGAATGAAAAGTAATAAAATAATAATTATAGAATAAAAAGTAATAAAATAATAATTATAGAATAAAAGTATTAGGTTCTATCCTTCGTGGTTTAGCTAGGACACGAATTTTAGAAAAATATTTAAAATTATTTTTAATGTATAACTTATCTTTTTTGTTTTTCATTACTTCTTTATTATCTTCTTTTTTAATTTTAATTTTTTTACATTTCACAGTATAGACGATAATCTGATTCAGTGCTGGATCAAGGGGGCTAGGGAGGCTATAGCCCCGGGCCCTGCAAGTTTAGAGGCCCCCAAAAATTTTAGAGGACTTTTTTTTTTTAGTCATTTTTAAGCTCTGGCCCATAAAAAGGCCTTACTGTAAAAGCGTTGCGCATGCATGCTAAAAGTCGTGTGCAAATTAGGCGGGGATTAACAAATTTTGATTTCAATATTTTAACTCGAAGAAAGATGCGAGAATGTAAAAAGATAGATAAAAAAAAATTTCTAATCATAATTAGTTAATAAGATTAACAGGCGACTTAAAATATATACAAATTTTATAATTCAGGAAAATAAGATGACGAATATATAAAATAATAAAAGAATAAGAATTAGAAAAGCGAATTCCTAAGGACTGGTGTTCAAAGAAAAAAATTAGACAAAAAAGATTTTTTGGAGCACTTAATAACAGTCAGAGTAAAAAGATGAAACTTAATTAAATGGAAAGCAACACGAGAATGAATTTTAGGTAATGGCACAAAAGATGCTAGCTCTTTAGAGCAGTGCTTTAGAGCAATACTATAATGGGTATTTATATAAATAAGAAAAAAAAGCAACATTAGGGCAATGTGATAATGGTTGGAGGTTGGTTGCAACAGCAGATCCAACTATGTTTACAATATGTTTTTCACCTTGTCTAAAAAAGAACAGGCAACATTGGAAGAACTGCCCCAGGTATAGCCCCAACACTATGCCATACAAGGGTGGATTTAAGATTTATAGAGATAAAGAAGAAAATCCTAAGTAAGAAAATGGCGATCATCTGCAATCTTTGCAGATGCCATTTTTGCAATGAATTTAATATATGGTTTCGAAAAAAGATTGGAACTAAGAATTAATCCAAGAAGATGAAAGGTAGATGAATCATCGAGTACATTAATGTTCATAAATATAGGAAGATCTATATTATGCGATAGCAATTAGCTGAAAAAAATAAAGTTTTATTTGAGTTAAAGTTTACTAGCCACTTGGAGCGCCATGCTATAGCAGAAGTGAGATCCTTTTCAAGCTCAAATGCTCCCTTCAAGCAATCAGAGAGTGTTGGCTTCTTATCAATATAAGAATAAATGTTAAAATCATCATCAAACAGTTCTACCTAAGACGTGAAAATTTCTGGGAGGTCGTAAATGTAAATTAAAAAGAATATAGGGCCAAGAATAGAATCTTGAGAAACACCTAAAGTTACAAGGTATGAAGACAAATTATGTCCATCGAAAACAAATTTTATACTATGATTGGTAAAAAAGGGTCCAATAATCTTAAAGATTTTATCTGATACACCGTAAGAAGAGAGCTTATGGAGAAGACGAGCATGCCAAACTTTATCAAAAGCTTTAGAAATGTTGAGAGTGATAACCTTAACTTCTCCATATCTATCTAATGCACTATGAAAACTATTAGTTAATACTGTTAACTAACCAGCCGCAAAACAAGAAGATTGAAATGCATATTGATGACCAGAAAGTAAGTTATTACATTAAAATTAAAAGATGAAGTATTTGGTCATTAAAGACTTAAAAATCTTGCTTATGATAGTAAGAAGACTAATCGGACAATAGTTAGACAAGTCAGATCACTTTCCAAAATTTTTTGAAAATAAGGATAACAGATGTCGCTTTATAGCAGACCGGAAAACAACACTCTGATAAGCACTTGTAAAATTGTTTTAAAAGTATAGACGACAGCTCCGGAGAACACTTCTGCAAGACTATAACAGGTATGTTGTAAAAATGAAGCTGCCCAATGTGAGAAAAAACATGCAGAATAGTAAGATTTAACTAGTAATTGTCGAGAGGGAGTAAATGATCGAGAGGGAATAAAGGATTCTAAGCCAGCCTGAATTCAAGAAGCTACGTAAGAA